CCAGCTTCACAGAACACAATTGCAACTCAAAAAACCATAGTATATCTATTAAAAACACAGTGATTTTAAACAAAGAACCCAACATAAACAAACGAAAAATCAAGGAATCCATCTTAATTGAACAAAACAATCCTACTCTAAACCAACACCTCGGGGTGCCTAGATACCTCTTCTAAGTTTCGCAACAGGTCATGTGACTTCTTTGTTCAATACTGTATATATATATATCCGTGTCAGTGTAAATTACTTGTACCTGTTGATGACAAAATCTTGTCGAAACGTTGTACATTTGCTGTTATGTTAAACTTATATTAAAGTTTTTCTTCATTACCCATTCAAGCCGTCTCCAGCCATTGTTAAAGGTCTCTGATCTGGCTGCTTAGCCCTAACGTCGCATGAGAGAACTACAGATGTTAGAAATACCAATGTTATATATATACCCATATTGGATTTCTTAAGAGATGAAACAAGTTTTCGATAAACTTGAACCTCTTGAAACTTGGTAACTTCTGTGCTTCGCGACAATTAAATTCCATAACAATCTTCCATAAACTATGAACGTTCTTCTTCTTGTTAAAATATGTGAAATCACAATAAAAATATAGAGCTACTTCTTGAAGATAGCAGAAGTTATCATGCTAATCCTAAATACGTAAATAAATACTTTTATGTACATGAAACTCTAAGCATATACGATTTAGTTTTCAAAAACACAAATGTGAAAATAATTCAGTAATGCGATCAAAATGTTATAAGGATATGGGTTATAATTATAAATACGAAATACAATCTCTAGGTTCATGTATGTATAAGTATAAAAAATCGAATAAGAATAACTACCCAGTTACTACGTTTATAGTGATACAATGTTTTTAGTGTAAGAGACGAAGCCCTACTAAAGCTATAAGCCTGTACAATCCGTATATGAAGCATCAAGAATCTACAGTTTGGATATTTCTTGAGCATATCAATATTTTCTCAACTTGCCTGCTACACTCATCCAGCAAGGATATTAAATTTAAACATACTTGCATAGTATAAACTTTTGTACCATCTAGCAAGAAATTAAAATGAGTTAAAACATATTTACATAGAGTAATATTTTGCATGCATATTGTTCGCATAATTTTTATCAATACATTTTAAGAACAGCCATAAATAAGCCAATACACGTTTTGTATAATTTCGAGAACCGCTTGACAGCGTACGAGTCTCAAGAACTTACGTTCTGGTCTACATTTGCCTGGTAGAGTCAAGGACGGACGATCGTTCAGTGTTCATCATGAAACGGGAGATTAGCATAGCATTTCCTGTAACAGCTGATGCTCTGACCAACTTGTAATGAACTAATCGTATTTTGGCTTGGCATACCATTTCTTGTAACAGCTGATGCTCTGACCAACTTGTAATGAACTAATCGTATTTTGGCTTGGCATAACATTTCTTGTAACAGTTAATGCTCTGACCAACTTGTTATGAACTAATCGTATTTTGGCTTGGCATAACATTTCTTGTAACAGCTGATGCTCTGACCAAACTATTGCAATTAGTAAATATAAATATATTTATGTTAACGTGTGTTTTTATGCAAAATATTTGTTGTGATTAATAAGCAAATTGAAATGGAACTTGTCAAGAAAATGTCCAATTTACTTGATTTATGTTTAAAAACTATGTTTTGAATATCGTATTGCTTTCTTTTCTAAAGTAATTGCAAGTTTTCACGTACATGATTTTTGAGAGTAAAGGGATTTCAAACACATGGAAATCAAAATTAAACTGCAATCATTAGTTTAGTACAACAGTAAAGTCTACGATTAAGAATTCGTTTTTAGTACACAGTGAAGTCTACGATTGTTTGTTTTTGAATTTCGCGCAAAGCTACACGAGGGCTATCTGTGCTAGCTGTCCCTAATTTAGCAATGTAAGACTAGAGGGAAGGTAGCTAGTCATCACCACCCACCGCAAACTCTTGGGCTACTCTTTTACCAACGAATAGTGAGATTGACCGCCAATTTATAACATCCCCACGGCTGTAAGGGCGAGCATGTTTGAGCGCTTTAACCACCTGGCCACGGCAGTCTACGATCAAGAATTCAAAGTGTAGGTCTGGGCATCCATATGATGATGACTCTACAGTAACATAAATCTAGAAGTTGTTGTTACTCCTAATCAATACTCCGAGATTAAACAGGTTAAAAATGTCAGTAGTTATTATTGTATAATTTGATTAACCTATATTAATTTTTTTAAACACGGGTGTCTTGTGTATAACCTAAAATTCGTCACTTTCAACTGACCAATTAGAAAGCTTTACTGAAGTCTAACAAGACTATATTTGGATGTTTTAAGTCTTCGTCCAGGAGCTGCAACGTCAGTACACCTTTACAGTCCAAGAGATAAAGTTACAATTAAACTATGGTAGCCACGTTCCGAGTCTACAAGAAAACTGCTCCGAATGGAAAGGTAATCTCAATTTTAGATGACTTGACGGAAATTAATTTAATAGACTAGAAATAGTCTGTATTAACCAAAATTGTTTGAAATGATTCAGCATCTTAATCAAATTGAAATTGTGGTCTTGGAAAAAAAGAAAAGCTGTTGAGAACACCATGAGTTGAATAAATTCTGAACAACAACTGTAATTATTACAGTAAATATGCAAGATAATATATCAGACGTTGTAGTTTTAGCGAATAAGAAATTGCAGGCAACAAACAATAATATGCAAATAGACTATAAAAAACAACTATTATTGTTGACGTCCTTAATGAAAATTTTTATATCAACAATAAATGTGAGCTTTGATTCAGAATAATTCAACCTAAGTACTACTGACTAAAAATCTTGCCACCATGTCTGCGGATTTATACGGCTAAAAACCGGGTTTCGATACCCATATGGGCAGAGCACAGATAGCCCATTGTGTGTAGCTTTGTGCTTAACTACAAACAAATAAACGAACTAAAACATTTACTACGTTTTTATAGCTAAAAATCACAATATGCTTTGTTTAATTTTTTATCTCCGATCTGATTTTATATATGCATGCTGAAAGGCTGCATAGCAGTAAGGTTGTCCAGAATAATTCAACCCAAGTACTACTGACTAAAACATTTACTATAATTATTTAAATTCACGACAAACAGGGTATACTAATGTTGATTAATGAGTTTTATTAGCTGCTTTAGAACTTACAAAACATATTAAAAACGTACACATTTAAACCTTATTAAAGGGGGAAAAGCACCAATCAGTAATACAAAATGTAAAATGAATTATAAGAAAATAAGTGTCAGTAAATTTAGTGTATCGATTCAACATACAGAGACATCCTCTAGAGAATAGTGTTGTCAGTATAAGTAAATGATTTTAATTTAATTTTACAAATGATAATACTTATTTATATTTTATAAAACTTATAGTTTTATGCAAATTTATGGATCCTAAATAGCGGTAAAAGTGAACAAGTATGCGTCAGTTGTGTATTTGAGCAGTTGTAAGAAAGCGAAACTTCTATTCCTTTTGGGAGCGCTACAAGGTGCGTTTGCAGACGAACTCAAGACAAATAAAACATCTTTCACGAATATTTTCTACTTAAGTAAAATGGTTAACAATTTTGGAATAGAAATAGTTTAATTAACACCTTTTTAGGAAAAAAAAGTATCATAAACATATATGTAATTATAATATAAAGTCCTTTTAGGCTCAATAGAAAACCAAAAATAATTCCTGTCGTTACGACTATAACTGAAGTATTTATACTGTTTTATGTCAATATCTGGAACAATAGAACCTGATGTTAGAAGTTAAAACGAGCTTTTTCAACAACTCCTTAACGTGTTTTTTGTTGTTGTTTTTTTAGCTAACCTTGTATCTAGGGAAACGGGATTTTGTTGATCACTTGTCACATGTGGATCTCATTGGTAAGTGACAGAATTCGTTTATAAGAAAACAATCAGGCCTAAATCTTTGATAAAAACAAATAAAGATGTGTAGCTAGTATAATTTGATTTTATCTATTTTTTAGAGTGATAATGATTTTTATCACATTGTTCAAAAATTAAAAAGAATTGAGTAAATTAAATTAAAATGACTTTGAATATATAAATCACCAATTTACCCCTAAATATAACCGATATAAAGTCGCGAAGGAACGGAATGTATCAGCACTACATTTTGATATTGCCTACCATTACATAGGGAATGTGATGCCACCGAAAATTGGTCGCTTTTGTGAAGAATATATAACAGCCCTTTCCGCAGAATATTCAAACAATCAGATCATAAGGGTGTGTTCAGATCTGGGATTAGGAATTTCCAAGATGGTAATATCTCATTTATCTAGCGGCATTTGAAAACAAAGAAATATGGACCAACTTGGAACAGCAGGACTATCCAGAGAGAGACCTGCAACACGTTGTACCTCAGCCATGGTAAGTAAAGTACGGTTTCTGGTAACAGGTGATATTCCGCGAACATAATGGCCAGTGGCAACAGTACTCAAAATAATTAAGAAGAATTTCCGGCTGAAAAAATTACACAAATCACGTGTAAACAAGTTGCTTGCACGACATATCCGTTCAACCGTTGCATACCTCAAGCAGCTGGAGAATGAAACGGGTATTCATGCTATTCCATATGAAACCATACCGGTTAAGTCGCCAGTCAACAGGATATTGATAACGATGTTATACCAAACTAATGGAAAAAAAGAGCAGGTGTGGGACAAGTGATGAGGATAATAATACGTTACTAGGATTTATGTGCGATCGGACAGTTGTAACAGGTGCTGAGACACCGTCGTCCTAGTACAGTATTCCTAAGATTGTTTATGGTAAGTATGCAGAGAGGTGTGATGTGCTTTGTATTACAGAGTTTTTTGAAATGGAAACTATGCTGCAGGGCTATTTTCAAGATGCACGGTAATCAGGTAGAACATGACCGGTCGTGGCGAGACTCCAAAGTCATTTTAATGTAATGTATTAATCTTTGTAATTCAGGCAATGACTGTAATACTTCTTATAAGGAATTTCAACAGTTTTACTAAATGTTCATTAATTTAATCTTTTCTATACTAATTCCATTATCCTTCACTATAATATGAACTTCTTCCTCAGTATCGCCACAGTTACTTTTCACATTACAACAGGTTAATATCTTCTCCAGTATTCCATTAATCTTTTTTCACCAAAACAATTCAATCTCTTGTCTGTTATGCTAGTTAATTTTCACATGACCACAGGTTAATATCTTTCTTAGTATCCCACTGCAACGAGTTAATGTCTTCTTCAGTATATCGTAATTATTTTCACCACAACAGGTTGATCTCTTCCTGCAACTTCCCTTTAATGTTTCTCACTACAACATGTTGATATCATTCCAGATATTCCGTCATTGTTTTTCTACGGTAGGTTAATATTCCCTCAATATTCCTATAATTTTTCTCACAATGATATTCTTATTTCACAATATTTTGTTAGCTTGTGAATCATAGCATTAATGTTCTACCACTTTCAAACCCACGTCACTATAATATAAGCAGAATGCTTATAATAATAAAATGTATTTGCTAGTATCATTTTACTTGTATGTTTTTCTAAAAACATATAAAAAATAGTAATGATCGTTATTTTTCTCTTCGCGATATCATTGGAACTCTTCTCCGATGTTGCTGTCACCACATTATTAGACTGATTTTTTAACTAAAATCCTAAAGACTCGATTCATTTATAACCTCCTCTACCTAGTAACCTAATGTTCTCCTCATCATTTATCCCACGCTTGCTCTATTTTGCTTTAGTCTGGTATACCATCGTTATCATTATTCTGTTGAATTTTCTCGTTTCTGACTTGTCCAACTTATCTGTCTGCTATATCCGCTTTATTAACCTCATCATTTATTTTTTTTATCAGCACTTATGTTTCCTCTTATATATTCTGCCTCTTAGTTTCCTAACAACATTTTTCAATCTTCATAACTGGTTTCACGATATGTAAGCATAATGAACATTTTTAGTACATACCGCATATTTCGACGGAGCATTGGTCTGTCTTCTTCAGGTATGATACAAATCCAAACAAAGAGGTTAATATTCAGAGCAAAATGTCTCTAGGTACTATGGGTAACAGGATGTAACAACGGGATGTTATCATGTGATGATAACATATTGTGACAGAGTTATTACCTAAAGGGAGGGAAAGCTATGTGAATAAATTTTGCCATATTTTGTTAATGTTACTAGGGCCATTGATTCGGTTTAAAGATAAAACACCTGTTTTTATTATGTCAGTGCATTCAAGAATACTTCGTTCTATTTTATGTTTTGGTTAGTGTAAGAGGGACATTTTTTTCCCAAATAATCCTATGACCGGTTTCAAATCGATGACATGTTAAGGTGGATTTTTCAAAATTCCCTCTACGCATGTGGCTTTAATGTTATTTTCGTCTAATTTCGAGAAATCGTACAGTTTGTTCAAAATATTTCTTACCACATTCACATTCTATGTTATATATGCCTTGTTTTATGTTCGTTCTTGGGAGCTTGTTTTAAGGTGGGTAATAAAGCACTTATCTTATGTGAGAGGTTATGTATAATTCTTACTTCCGGTTTTAAGTTAAATAAACAGGTTATTTCAGTAGCCATTTCAGGAACAAGACGAACTTGTTATGGTTTATGTTACTGATAAGGGAAAAGCTGGAATTACTGTAGAATTGCTTGCGATTATTAAGTTTGATGAAAGCATTGTCTATGATATCAGGGCTGAAACCCCTAGATTTCGTTATGCTTACATATCGTTGTGTCTTATATATACAAGTCTACTAGCGTAATGTGCTTGCCTACACAAATATGGTTTCGCCTTTCTTCTCACCAGCGATATAGTGTGGTATTATATTTCATTATCACAACCTCAATCAATCATGTTTCTTCTTACACTCGTTTCACATTAGTTTCTTTACACACAACTTTAGTATTCATGAATTATTCCACCTGTTGCGTCAGCGAGCTCACGTGACCAGTATTACGCCACTTCTCTCGAACCTTCGTGAATTATCGGGAGACTACTAGATATGTGGTAGTCTTGTATATATAA